TCGTTTGGCACTTATAAAACCAAACGATTATGAAGTGCAATAAAATTTTTAAATTATATTGAGTAGCAACACTATTAGTTTTTCTTATTTCTTTTTTCATAATGATTTATTTTGAAAGGAAAATCGTTTGGCACTTTTAAAGCAAAACGATTATGAAATGCAATAAAATTCTTATCAAACATTGTGTGGCAACACCTTTTTTTTTTTAAACATTTATAAACCCCGTGCACCACGCAATGTATAACACGGGGGGCATACAACACAGACAGAAGAAAGGATTACAACACAAACATCCATGCCTCTTCTCCGGGATTCGAACCCAGTCCCTACGACACCGCAGTCAGCTTCACTGACCACTGTACCGGATGGGCGGCTGGCAACACCTTTAAAATAGTTTTTGTTTCTAAATTCGTTTGGTGACTCACTGCGTTCGGAATCGTGTTTTTGAGAAAACGTATTAATAGATAATTTTTTGGTATCTAGTGTTTGTTTAATGTATATATATATAAATGGTTTTAAAGAATGAAGAAGTAGAAAGAATGACAATTTTTCAAAATATTCTCCCTTTATATTTTTAGAGTTACTATCAATTGAAATAATAAAAGGCGGTTTTTTTTGTTAAAATTTCTCTACTGTGATATAATAAAATACGAATAAATCTATTTCTAAATAATATATTTCAAGAATTTTAGTTCAATCCCGTTATAGAAGTACTAGCTGTATGTACAGGTAAAATATTATAATTATAGAAGCATTTTCTGAACAGGAGAATGTTTTGATAATATGACATTCTTTATTATTTTTTTTGAAAAAAAAATTGTATTTATAAATTTTTTTTGTAACGATATTCTCGAAACAATTTTATATGTATATTGTATAAATCAACTGACATTAAATATGAAAAAAATGATCAATTTATACTTTGTGTCACTTAAAAAAATAAACACTAGCTATTATAGTTAGAATAGTTACGAAAATAAATACAATTTGCGTTCCATTATGGTAATTTTAAACAGGAAAAAAATATATATTAGAACCTGCCCCTGAATTTAAACTGCTCATTCCAAAATTTAATTTACATACACACTTACTATCACTCTCATTACTAATAACTATTACAATCGTTTAAACTATTTCCAAGTGCAGATAATCTTGTCTGAAAAATAATTAGAATTATAATTTTCTCAGTTTCACAACAATTAATTATATATGATATTTAAAATCTCGGAATTGTATGAGACCATCTTGGTTGCTTTTATCGATCACATATATTGGATGAAAGTACGACGTAATTTTCGAAGAATTTTAATTGCGTGACAACATTAGAAGCAAATCGTTATTTTCAAATTGTTTTATGATTCAAATTGCGAGCGACTGTTGTTGATTTTTGTTGTTTTAAGCACCTCTAACAACAAATGATTTTCTACTTTTTTTAAACAAAATTAATAGCAGCAAACGATAATTTTTTATGAAACTTTAATCAATAAAGAAATAAAAAAATCATTCGTATTGAAAGGCATTAACGAAGAAATAATTATCAACATAATTTTACATTATGAATTACACATTTCGTAACAACCAACAATAACAAAAAAAAGAATGTTACTTGTTCTTTTTTTATGTTATTTTGTCCCCCCCCCCTTCTTTTGAGAAATTTTTAACGGAATTCCAGATATTTAATCCATTTTAATTTTTGTCTGGTAAGAAGTACTTGTTAAACAGCTACGATATGAAAAATCTCGGTTAAACCTGGACCACAATTTCTTTTCGTTATTTTTGTTAAAGAAAAATTGTTTTGAGGTACTTTTATTACAAACGATCTCAAAAGTAATCAATACTTTCACTTAATTTTTTTCGCATTTTCATTCAAGATATTAATCTAGGGATTAAAAGGGATTATTTTTAAAAGCGCGGGAGTTAATGAGGGAAAAAATAATAATCAGGAAACGCTCTTCTTTAAAAAAAAAGTATAAAGTTCATCGATCAAATTTTTTTTTAAAATAAAAAATTATAATACTTACATGAACTCCATCATGAGTTTAGTGGTTTATTTTAGAAAGTGTGTAAAAAAATGATATGGAGGATAAGATATTTAAAAACAAAATTACCACTCCAATTTTTTTCGAATTTTTTTAAAAAAAATAATGTAGTGGTATAAGCTCCCAGTTACCCATATAAAATAAATGAAGAAATATTTTTTTTAAAAGAAAAAAAAAGAACAAGGTCGTTTAGTTCTTATAATCTTTATAATACTTTTGAAGATAAAATGAACAGGTGATACTTTATTTTTAATTGAAAAGGATTTAGGATACGATGAACTTTGATTATGTAGCCTGATTTCTCTTGTGCTCTTCCTGTTTTTTAAAGCAAACAACATCTATCTCGTAGAATATATATCACATACAGTAATTATTCTTTGCAAACGAGCAATAAATAAAGTAAATTCTGTTTTTTCATATGAAAAGGAATCACGTATAATTAATTTTCCTTTCAAAAATTTTTTGGCCCGAATGGATCGCCGAAAATGGGCAAATCGACTGATATAAAGAGAGCTTCTGTAAAAATTGGGAAAAAGAACGATAATATATGTAAATGACACCCAAAGTATGATGAAAAATTAATTCAATAAAGATATGAATTATAGACCAAAAATCATTGATTATATTTTAATGTACAGAGCATTTCTTTTACCCGATTCCCAAGAATACATATAAAATAATTGGATGATTGTATGGCTTGACATTAAAGGAACTATAATCTTAAAGAAACATACCATGTAGAAAAATTTCTATAATTCTAACTCCAAAAATGTTACATTACTATTAAAAAAATCATTTTTTAATGTAATTATTTTATAATTTCTGAATTTTATAATATATAACAGGCCAAATATTTTATAAAAATAAAAATTATAGTATATATAAGTTATGAATTCCTTTTTAAAAATAAAATATTCTTGTTTCAGAAATTTACATTATTTCGTTATCTAATGCACTTAGAATAAATTTCGTACATTTAAACTAGTTACTTTAAAAGAATTAATTACATATTTAGACCATAAAAATCATTGTAATAAAACGACCATTTTAATTTTTCACAAAAAATATCTGTATAATTTTATTTTTTACTTTATTTAAAACTTTGATTGCTTTTATTTTTATTTCTGACTTTTCTTGATTTACAAGACACACAACAAGATTGTACAAGATTAAAATTATAATTCAATCTTAAAAAGATTTACACTATTATAGTTGTCAACAACCTTTTTCCTGCGCATACCTACTGCTTAAAAATCTTGTACGCTCTGCATTTTATAATGATACACAGAATTCTTTTTCAGGAAAATTATACTATTCCCAATTAAAAGCTTTATTTCGAACAGTTTATAATTGATACGATATATTGACGCAATACTAACAGAAAATACAGAAAATGATGAAACAAATGTAGTTAGTTTAATTTTTACGAATATGCTATGTGGTAATATGTTCCTCATAATAAAAAGTTACAATTTAAAAAAATAGACAAAAGCTGTGTGTGTGTAATAAAAAAGTGTGTAAAATAAAAAATTTAAATAACATTTTTACAAAAAAATTTTAAAAGAAAAAGCGAAGAAAAATTATTGAAACTATATTTTCAATTATGATTGATTCAAATAGAAAATTAGTAAAAGCGAGGATTTATATGCATTATAATTCCATAGAATACATTCAAAAGCATAATGTAGAGTATTTGAAATGATTATAAATTTAAAACACTTCCGTCTCGATTTTCCCACTTCTTCGTGTTATCAATAAAAATCAAATTATTTTTATTTGATGTGATAGAAGTAAAACATATTCAAACCAAAGGAAAAAAAATAATTAAATTTAAAAATATATATTATTATAATGATTTCAATAGCAATAATTTCCAAAAAAATTATTACATTTACAATGAAATTATAAACATAATTACCACGGTTGTAGCAAAAAAAAAAATCTTATCAAGCTATTTTATTAAGTATGAAAACTTTTTAAATTACTTCATATTTTTGTAGAAAAAAACCGAGAAGATAATAGTCTTATACTCACGATTTTTTCCTTGAAATTAAAAACAGGAAAATAACTTGAGCATTATATATGTTATAAAAACAACATCGACATTTTTTTAAACTATCAAAGCATTATACATCCATTCCTCGTATTTAACAACTGTAATGCATTCACAGAATACATAGTTATAATAGTTTATTTAATACGTGACGTACAAAGCGCTTAAATTTTTAATTAATTCTATAAATTAAACTGGTATAAAATGCTGGAAATTTCACTTTAATAATTAAAGTCGAAGAACATTTTTCACAAAGAAAGAGAAATTCAACTAACGCAAACTCAGCATTTCATCTCTGTTTAATTTGAAAGAATTTTTAATCCTGGTAATTATTAAGAGAAGAACAAAAATTACGTGGAATTTTAGTTAAAAATCTGTTTCAAAAGGTGTTAGATCTTCAAAGGTTAAAAGTGAATAACCTTACGCATATAATCTTGCTTATCACCATGAATATTACTTTGCTTCATTACAAAGGCAAATGAAGCACCACACGGATTATAACTTGAAATTAATTCTAATTAAATTAAGTGATAAATCTCACAATTAGTTACACACATAACTTGGATATGGAAGCTCGATTATAGTGAGAAGTTGTTTATGAATTATTTGAAAGGAATAGAATTCGTTTCTTTAATTTCAAAATACCAAACAATTTTTTATTATTGGAAGGCTGTTACTTTTTTTTTAATGTAGGAATGTTGTTGTTGCCGTGTATTTGTTATATTGAGATACATATAAAGACGAGAGAAGAAGGACAGAAATATGCATTACAAACACAGAAGAATATAAACTTTTTTTTTTTACAAATGACAATCCCAGCATACAACAGAAGGGGTGCGCTGGTTTCTATTGGATACGGGAATCTATTACAGGCGAAAGTCCGACTTCTTTTCCCGAAGTTACATCCATGCCTGATTCGGGATTCGAACCCGAGCCCACTCGGTTACAAACCGAAGATCATATCCACCATACTGGCTGGGCGACTTATGTAGGAATAATATAGTTAAGCATTTCTCTGATGAATTTTTTTTCTTCCAATGGGGATGTGGATTGGTATTTACAATTGCAGACCCAATACATTCCCCGGGAGTTGATATCACTATATATGTGGAATACCGATCACCACAATGTAATTTTGACGCCAAGTTTTCAACTCCACAATAAGGCGTGAAATATTACTACGAATTTAATTTTGCCGAAAGCACCCAAGCCAAACAGACACTCTATGGATCTTTAACATGTCGCATAATCATACGACATTAATACTGTCGATTTTGTGTGTCGATTTTTTTTAAAAATCATGAGTGAGATGGCTTGTTGAAATTCTCATCACAGCCTGCAGGTTTATATCAAACAACTTGCACCTATATTTACTCTTGTTAATCTTCATGCAAGAAAAACTTTGCTCACAAATATATGCTGGCTTAAATATAGAGAATATTTTGTGTCTGTTTGGTTTTCTCACTGCCTTGACAGGCAGTGGCACACGGGCCGTTATTGACTACTGTTTTAAGGCATCAAAAAAAGTTGAGGCTACACCGGCCACAACACCCTTCAGAGAATCATTGCAAAAATTTACAACCCACAAAAGTTAAATATTACATAATCAGTACAAAAATATGAAATTTAAATACGAATTTTACGCCTAATATAACTCTTAAAACGCGCGAATATATCATTGCAATTATAACTTAGACTCCATAAGATGTACTTATTTCGTTTCAAATTCCACAAGTGACCATTAAAATGCAGTGCGATACCCCCAACTTCAGCTGACCAGTCAGCGCAATATGAGAGGGGAGTTAATTATTGAGCGCTATTTAATTCCGGAACAATGGCGGTTTGTGTGCATTTTCGGCTAACTAGCATAAGAGGATAGGTCAACAAGAATTTGAGATAATCTCTTCAGAAAACAGAGGGTGGGTAACGGAATTAATCATTAGAACGCCCTATTAGGGTTGGCCTTAAATATTTCGGCTGATGATTGTTACAAATTTATCTAATTCGAACGTTACAAGGTGATTCTAATGTTCGAAAGAAATATAGTGTAAAGTTTCTGGACAGTCTGTAAGATAAGTGTCAAGTAATATTTAATTTTTAATAAATTGTATTCTATTAAGATCATTAAAAATTATCATTAAGTTTAAATAGCAAGGATGGTGAGTCAGAGTCACATCATAACCTTAACATATCAAAATTATTCATTAAGTCGTATTTCAAAACTAATCTGGCGATAAACAAGATATCAATCATTGGCATGGCCAAGTAATTTTAGCACGTTTTTCACATGTTGTATTTTACAATAATGCAACTAATGAACTTTTTACTAACATAAAGTAATACTATACTTTAAAAAAAAATTAAATTTTTTTTTTAAATTTGAAAAATAAATTAAAAAATTATTAAATTTAAATATGATTCGGCTCATCTAGGGCACAAATGCGACCCAATGCCGAAAACCCGAGGTCAATCGGTTGCTTATTGGCTGAGAAAAAGGTACGACAAAATATGGAACGAAGACAAAGACGAGGACGAAATTTGCGTCCTAATAGCGCTTTTTTTACACTACGTGAAAAGCGCGCTAAAAATAGATGTACCAACATGAATTCAGAAAATTCCAGTATAACTATGTACAGAAAAAAAATATAGAAAATCCTAGATAGTTTTCCCCAGCCAAAATATAAGAACGATACATTGAAGCAACATTGGAGTTTAAAGCTGAACAAGGGTTGTTTCCTATATATACGAAGAAAATCTGTAATTGCGTCAGTGTTCTAGAATACATTACGATTAATTCTGAAAGAACCTCTCTGCTTCGACCAATCTTACACTTGTGAATTATGATCTACCATGCAGCACTATAATTTTAATAAGTTCAAAGCATATTATTATTTCATAACGGTAGAAATAGTGATCACTTCTAAGTTTCAAATCAATGTCTGTAGAACATGCTTTACTGCTTAATTGGTTTTAATGTAAAGAAAACAACTTTAAAGTGATATAATGCTAAACAGGAAAAGCAAACATAAGTTATACCTGATCTAAGACCTGAGTCTATTTTATACACATTTTTACTATTTTACATTTAAATTAAACTTTGAACGAAATAGCATTTATGACAAAGTAAGGTAAAAACTTATAAATTTATAGACTTGAACATTTTGTATATTTATTAGAATTAAGTTTATATTTTAGTTTTATTCGTGTAAATTAGATTAATTTTCAAGTAATTTAATCGTATGAATCAAAAATTGCAAAACTAGAAAATCAGTATAACTGAAACAGTATGTGAGCATACAATAAAGTACCACTAAAGCGAAAATAGAAAAACAATGGAGCTATCATTTACAAAAAACTTAAATTCATAATTTAATTACCGATATGTATTTACTAATTAGCATATTTGCTTAAAAAGCACTATTCCACGTTGCTGTTTTATATCCTTACCATTTTTATAAAATATACCCGCTGCTAATCTTTGAAATAATGTGAATTTTTTTGGAACCATTCTACCAAACCGAGAAGAAATAAAATATAACCAAATATATTACATTATAAATGAAGGACTTATATTATTAATTTTTACAAAGTTTAGCAATAAATTATAAGAATATTCCCTTTGATGTTTTCTAAATTAATATTTTAATTTCAAACACATTTCTTAACCTTTCACAAAAAGCAATATCTCTCTGTCGTCTCTAAACCGATATATTTTGCAATAAAAACTAATTTAAAATTTTAGAACTTAAAATAACGAGTATTTTTAACATTCTATCTTTTAACTTACACATTTTAAATGATCTAGTGCAAGAAGTATATGCATTTTGTGACTTATTCTTCCAAATTATATTTAATTGCAGTATTAAATGTTTTGAAAAAAGATTCACAGATAAAGACCCTTAAAATAATGCTTTCCTACATATTCTTTTACATCAAGCAGCCTTTTTTCTCTTACACACAAAACAATAGGACAATATCAACAGCTGTCTGGTGTTTTTTCACTCAGTAAAATGTTTCATTTTGATGTAGTTGCCGGTGTGTAAAAAACAAAAAGACCCAAAACTCAATTTTCGTCTTTTCTTGCGATCTGTTGCCATATTCGCGTGAACGAATACTTCACACTTTTCGTACGATACGACGTCATACACACCTCATGACTCCCATCTAATTTATTTTTTCCTTCTTTCCCCCCTCTCATCTCGTCTGGTGTCAGCAGCATCACCAGGTGCAGTATTTCTACCGTGACTTCATTTACTTAACAGCTTTGAGATAGAGGGATTTTTTCCCCATTTCTTTTAAAAAGTTATTTTTACATCTGCCTTCATTCTCTGCTAGTGTGATACCTTTCCCCTTCCCCTTAGAACAGCGACGAAAACTTAATAAAATGAAACCTGTCAGTAGGAATAGCACCGTCAAGTATTTCAAATTCAGTTCCCTGGAAAAATCTCCTCGAAATCGCATCGTCACTTTTCTAGTTTTACTTTGTGTTCTTTTCGGTTTTTGTTCCTTAATTTTATTCCCTTTTTCTCGATGCAAAGCTCCCCACCCCTCTCTCTCTCTCTTTTAAAAGGGAGAAACTCGGAGTGTTTACGAATTTTGATGGGTTTCCTAGCGCGGGAAAACAGCCAATTTACATTTTCCTTTAAAACTCAAATGTTCCAAATAATCCTGTTAGCTTAATTTATTTTTAAGCCTTTCTGTTTTCCCCCTTTTAGGGATAAAACCGTGAGGATTTTTCTTATTTGATAGGGGAAATAAATTCGTGTACAAACACTGAAATTTTTATCTTTTATTTTTTTTTCAGGGACTCATTTTAGTAATTTTTGATGTGCAATTATGCATGCTGCATATTTGAAAATAATTAGTGCTTCTATTTACTAAGCCTAATTTGAACCATTCGAATTAGTTTAACGATAAAAGTAGAATTTACTTTTATTCAACAAAATATCGTCCGCAAAATCAACTAATTACATTTTAAAAAATACAAGCGGAGTAATACGTTGATTTAAATATTACTTTTCATAAGTTTTGATGTAAAGAGAATGCTAGATGAATGTTTAGTACCTTGTACGTAAAGATTAATAACAGTTTAACTTATTTTACTAATTGCAAGCCATTCATTTAAATTTGCTTTAAATCGATATCGTTTAAAAAGTCACGAAAAAGACTTACGAAAGCAGAAGTAAAGATTGTTAAAATTAAATATAGGTATCTAAAAATAAATGAAGCTTGCATAATATTAAAACGCAGTTTAATATATACTTTAAATGTAATTTTATTGAAATCAACTTTTAAAAAAGATAAGCTCACATGAAAATACAAATAAAAAAATAATGTATTAATATTACTTTTCCTCAAAATCAAAAAGGGCACTTTTTTATGATAATAAATTTCATAAAGTATCAATATTTAATTTATTAACATTTTATAAACGTAGCATCTACATCTTATAATTTTGAATGTTTTTATAATAATTAAATCCATGTTTGAATTTATGTGAAAATTCCAATTGTTTATACATGTCATCTAAGAAAAAAAATTCATGATAGTAAATTTCCATTTTGAAAATAATGAATTTTATGTTGACTGTGTTTATGTGAAAAATGCATTATTATAAAAGAAGAGGGGGGGGGAGAAATTTTAACTAGGTGAATATTTGGTTATGAATTATAATTTTTAAAGTCTCGGGGAAAGAATAAAAGCATTTCAATATCTTGAATTCTGCATTATGTTACGAAGAGTATAAAAAGCTGAAAATGAATATTTTTCGAAAACACGACAAACAAACAAATTCTTATTTTTATTTCAGCTCTAATGAAAATAACTCTTTCTTTAAATTTATGATAAAAATGGGGTTTTTTTTTCTTGTTTAATACCATCTGCTGCACGAAATCATGTTAAGGTAATACGTTCGGAACCGTGATTTTGAAGAAGGAAAAAAAAAAACACGCATAAATGAATAATTTTTTGATAGTTAGTCA